TGGTGATTGTAAAAATGAAAGTACTGAATGAAATAGTGGCCAGAAGGAATAATATTTGTAAAAAAATAATTTGTACAAATCAGGGAGGTGGATTTTGGAGATTATATATGTATGTATATATATATATATATATATATATATATATATATATATATATATATATATGTAAAATCACAAAACAGTGGAGAAAAGTCTACTAAGTACGACAAGATTGTTGAAGGAACACTAGATTCCCACGTGGATGGAGTGTGGGAGGGATCTGAAGAGTCCAGCTCTACTTAGATGTGAAAGGTCTCTGGTCTTGCTCACCAACTGCCTTATCATATTGAGCTAGTTCACCTGCTATTTGTCAGTGTTTGTTTGGGTGTAGGGGTTGTTTGTTTTTCAGCTTTCAAAAAAGGTTGGGCATGATTGGTGTGGTATGGCCATAGGATTTTACAGCTTTTAGTTATAGCTCTTGTATCTTTTAATTAAACTTACCTTAAGTCATTTTTTTAAAAAGATTTTATTTTTATGTGTGAGTGTATGGGTGAATGCCCCATGTGTAAAAATGCCGAGGGAAGCCAGAAGGCATCAAGATCCCTGGGAACTGCAGTTACGGCAGTTGTGTGTGTGTTGCGGTGTTTTTAAAAACGGCCGCTGGTCAAGCCACATGTTTCTCGGCCGGAGGCCACGTGAATGCAACAGCTAGAAACGGCCAGCCAGAAACACCAGCCCTGGCACCCAGGAGACGTTAGTGTGGGAGATTGCTCTGCCAATCTTCCACGCGGTCTCCAAAAGGGTGGGCATTGCCCAGACCATCCCGCCATCCACGTGGGCCCAGTAGGAAAAATGAGACTCTAATGCTTAAATTATCCAAAAGCTTATATATTTGGTAATGATCAGTAACAAGATGCCCATAAAATCAGAAGTGTAACCCAATACCCAACCTAGATATATCAACTATACCAACTACCTTTGACTGCTACAGACACGTGAACATCCAGCTCCATGTTCCTCCTCCCTCCTACCCCTCTCTCTACCTCTCTCTTAAAGCAGAGAATGATCAAACTCCTAGGCTGTATTTTCAGCCTATCCAGTGGTTTTGTTGTTTTGTTTTGTTTTTAAATTAAAGACGATATGTATGTATGTGAGTACCCTGTTTCTGTCTTCAGACACACCAGAAGAGAGAATCGGGTCCCATTACAGATGGTTGTGAGCCACCATGTGGTTGCTGGGAATTGAACTCAGGACCTCTGGAAGAGCAGTCAGTGCTCTTAACCACTGAGCCATCTCTCCAGACCAGGTCTCCCCCTCTCCCCTTCTTCCTCTCTCCCTTCCTTACCTCCTCCTCCTCCCATTTCTCCTCCTCTTTGTCCCCCTCCCCCTTCTCCTCTCCCCTTCCCTCCCCCCCCCCACACCTCTCTCTGAATAGCAGTCTTGTGAATCCCAACCTGTTCTAAAAGTCCTTGGCTCAAGTGATCCCCTTGGCCTCTCCGAGACTGAAGCCGCATGTGTGCCTCACAGCAACTACACCTGGCTTGGAGTATCAATTTCTCATTTTGTTCCAATATTTCATTACTAGTATATCAAATATAATTGAGGCAGGCCACATAGTCCCAGGGTTGCCTTTGGTGAGGGCTGCTGCCACAGTACACATTTGGAAGTCAAAGAAAGGACCATTTGTAGGGGTGATAGTTCTTTTCTCTATAATTTGGTGTCCAGGGATCACACTGAGGTCAGGTTTGATGGTAGGTACCTTCTTTATCCACTGTACCATGTCCCTGGCTGAAGCCTCAGGATTTAATTTCCCTAAACAGAGTTACCTTGTGTCTGGCAAACTTGGTAGAGTCAGTATTAGTTCTGATAACTTGGGTGAAGGAAGAGAGTGAATTCTAGTGTTCTACAAAGATTGTTAATCATGACATCCAAGGAGGAAAAAAGAGATTTACCTCTTCCTTTTCAATCTTACCTTAAATATTAATGTTCAGTCGATGTGAGAAAAGCTAACACCATGTCCTTGTCCCCATTTAGAGGAAAAATGGGAATTTATAACCGTGAAGTCAGCTGATTGCTGTTAACATTTTCTCTAGACGTCCATTAGGTTGAAACTCATTCTCATTACTGCTTTGCTAACTGTTTTTCTGATCATGAATTAATATTGAATTTTATCAAATAACTACTGCTTTCTTTCAACAACATCAATGTGGTATATTTTATCTGCCTATCTCAGTCTATGTGTGGTGTTATAGTGCAATACTATAAGTCAGGTAACTTATAAAGAACATAAATTTACTTTCTCAAAGTTCTAGAAGCTAGAGTCCCAAATCAGGCACCAGACAGCATTCTGGTCTCTGATTCCAAGATTATTCCTTGGACACCATAATTTTATATAGGATTAGGAAGATGAGTGTTTCAGCCCTTTTAGAGAATCACAGATTTCATTGATCCCATGACCCATGGCTGGATTTCCCATAGCTATACAAAAGTTTTCCTGAAGCAAAGGTTAATACCTCACAGCCCATTATCTTCCACAGTAAAAGGTCAGCAGCCCTTAAGGAATGCCTAGGTCCATATTAAATTTCTTTAGTCATCACAGGGGAACTGTATAAATTATTACTCAGTCTGAACACTCTAATGACTGAGATAGAGTCGTTCATTTCTGGGCAAGCAAAAACACAGTGCCGTCAGGGTAGGGCAGGCTGTCACGTCCCCACAATAGCTAAGGATTAATAGAGACCATATCTGTTTCCTTTGCTCGTTGCTTCTACTTTTGTTTCCTATGTGTTTTCTAGCCTTGCGATTGTTTTAATGTAACTGTGTTTTCACTCCTTTCTTAACTTTCCACTTACATTTCAGTAGTTCCCCTAGAATCGCATTATATATTAGTTCCAATGTCTTACTAATTGAACTCATCCTAGAGCCTCTCTCCGTCAGCTTTAACATGAATAGATAACTTCTGCTTGCCTCGTTAGGGGCTGCTGGGAGTTTTATAGAGCATACAGCCATCCTTTACACCGGGCTACCCAAATTATTTATTCTGAGACAGCCTTTAGATTTTTCCCTTGGGTCATCAATTCCAACTGGATCTTAGCAGTTAACTTCCAGATCTTGAGGCAAATAGTAATAACAGTTAGTAGATTGGCTTTCCAAGAGAAAGATAAAGAAAACAGAAAAGTTTTCCTGGCCGACACACCATTTTAGGAGAAAGAAATTAAACTAGACGGTAACGTACATTAACCTTTGCACTTCCGGTTTCTGGAAAAAGAACGGCAACCTGGTGCTTAAATCCGCACAGGACCAAACCAGCTGGGGGATGTTGCTCGCTTGTTTTTTTTTTTGTTTTTTGTTTTTGTTTTTGTTTTTTTTTTGGTGGGGGTGTTTGTTTGTTTTTTAACTCAGTTGTGCTCATAACCACTTGGGACCTCATTCACCCTTCCTTCCTGTTGCTGCCGAGGCTGTTGGCCAACAAAAGAATCAATCAGTGTGGACCATGCTCATCTTTGAGCAGCAGAAGTGACATGAGCATTCTTTAAAACTCCCTGCCCTCCTTACAGCAGCACATTGGCGGGATACAATACATGTAGCATTGATGTCCAAACAGTCCGTTTACTGTTTAAAGCATTTCCCCAGAGGTATCTCTCCCTCCCTCCTTCCCTCCCTCCCCCACCCTCACCCCCTCCCCCTCTCCCTCTTTCTCTCCCTCTCCCTCTCCCTCCTGCTCTCACTCCCGCTCTCTCCCTTTCCCTCTCCCCCCCACCACCGTGTGTGTGAATGTTACTTCATACATGTGGATGTCAGAAGACAGCCTCAGGTGTTGCTCCTCACCTCCCACCGAGTTTGAAGCAGGCTCTGTTGTTGCTCGCTGCTCAGTATGCTCGGCCCATGAGCTTCATTCTGGTATTTGCCTCCAGTTTCCCCGACAGGAACATAGACCCGTGCTACTGCCCCTAACTTTACATGGGCTCTTGGGATTGTTATTCAGGTCTTCACATTTGTTTGGCAAGTGCTTTACCTACTGAACCATCTCCCCAATATCAGTGAGCCTCTAAATGGTATGAAAATACACGCATGTGCAAACTTTGAGTCGAGGAATAGGGGGCGCGGCAGTAGAGATTCCACGGTGCTCTCAGCACTCTGTTCTCAGATGGATCCTACAGGCTCCCAAACCAGCCTCCGCTTTTGCAGGAAGCTCCCAGCTTTGACGCTAAGGCATTACCATTTAACTGGCTTTGTGGCCTTGTGTAAGTCACTTAACATCTCTGAATTCACAATCAGGCTGCCTTCCCATAAAATGTAAATGTCTTTCCTCCCCGCCTATCTTACATGGTTGGGCAGATGAGATCATTTAAAGCAGTTTGTAGCACAGGGATGTGACCAGTTTATCACGGTGAAGAATGGGATCACCTTTAAAAGGTGTGTGTGTCTGTCTGTCTGAAGGACCGAACTCACGTCGTCGTGCTTGGTTGCAGGTATCTGTACTCATTAAGCCACCACCATACAGGCCTTGCAAGCAAAGAAGGGTAAATGAAGTCCCAACTGAGGACACTTGCACATGCTTTTGTTTGTTTTTGTTTGTTTGTTTTGGTTTTGGTTTTAAACAAGCAAGCAACATCCTCCAGCTGGTTTGGTCCCGTGTGAAGTTCGTACCCAAACTTTAATAAGTTAGTGCTGGGTGCCATTCACAACTCTGCGCAGCCACACGCTGGACATGCCTGGCTTCCCACTGCTGTCCTCCTTGGAAGAGCTGAGCTGGCTAGTCAGGGCCCGCCCTCTGCCTTGCCCAACCTCTGGCCTGGAGGCTAGCGATCCAAAATGTCATTTTCTGACTCGGGTATCCAGATGCCTGGCCCGGGCAGGCTTGAAATCCAAGTACAGGTGTGCGGCCACGCCCCCAGAGAACCGACCAATCATCGTCAGGATCCCACCCCACCCCCGCCTCCCACAGAGCTGCTGAAAAAACCCGGCCAGGCCCGGGGCTCGCACGGCTCCGCTCCCGAAACGGTCCCGTTAGCCATCCGCGGCTCCCGGGTGACTTCGAAATGGCGCGCGGCAGGATCTGCGGGCTGTCGGTCCGTAACCTGCGCTTTCCCACATCGCTAGGCAGCCACGGCTTCGACGCCAAGGTAAGCGCGTGGGCCACAGGGTTCACCAGAGCGAGGCGACCGGCCTCTTTGACGTGAAGGAGGACGTGAGGCTGAGCACACGCCTCCCTGAGGAGCTGGAGTAGCTAGCACTTGCCACCCACTCGGGGCGGGTAGTTCCTTTTCCAACTCAGGTTTTCCTGGACAGGGTAGAATGCAGAGGAGCAACAGCAAAAGGGTTTGGTTGAGTCTCCACCAGCGAAGCAGAACCATGCAGTGCTAGCTGTGTCCATATGAGACAAGTGACGGGGACCAGGAACTCCTGGGAATGTGGGGTGATTGATGATCCTGCCTCTCTGCCACAGCTCACTGGGTGACTTGTGAAGACTCTGGCCCTTTCTGCTACCCTTTGCTCACCAATGGCGTGAAAGTGTCACAGTCAGGCTATGAAACCAAGTGTCTAGTGACGGTGGGTCACTTGAGAGGGCACTCCTGTGAGATTGCTGTACCTACAGATTAACATATGAGTTCTATCTATGACAGTCTTTAAGAGAGGAAATAAGAGAGGGCAGAGATTTGGGTTCTCTCCTCAGTGCTGAAGTCTTGCTAGCTGAGACTGTTAGAGGCAGGCACCTGGCTGATGCCCTAACTTAAATGAGTGAAGTCTGGTCTTGACAGCCCTGAGTGCCTCCTGCCTCTTCCTGATCCACCAATGTGATGTCACACTAGACTACCAAGAGTTGCATCCATGCAGAGTGAATGCATGAAACCATGCCCAGGATCAAGAAGCATCAATGTTAGGGTCATGGTTACCTATCCCCAAGGAAGAGAAATATGGTCAGGGAGTCATCCCCAGGAACTCCAATTTACAGTGTAATGTCTTACTTCCCAAGAACCTGAAATGTTTGTTTAAAAACAGGCTCCTCAGAATTAAATAAATATTTTACATGAAGAAGAATGTTCCCTATTCTGAGACCTTTAAAAAAATCCTTGTGCCCTTATATATAATATGGTTAATGCCTTAAAAATCTCGTCAGTCCTTTGTGGACTTACATGTAAATGTTCATAATTTTAGCGATTTGTAAAATCCAGATACCTCATTAATTGTGACTGTCTTCACCTCTGTGAGGTTTAACAGCTGAGGATAAATTATATAATTATTAAAGCCTAGATTTGCTCATCAGTAAATTGGGTCCACCAGTATTTACTTTGTGTAAATGCCTGAAAACAGCCTTATACAAAGAAGGCTCCCCACAACAGTTGACTTTATCACTTATTGATGAGGAAACTAAAGCAGAAAGGACTGGAATAAACCTGACTTGGAATGTATGAAAGGTTAAGACAATGTGGTTTGTATAGGAACGGTTAAGACATAGTAAATACTTCTGGGCTTCAGTTGGGTATGAGCTCAGGAGAGGAGAAATGATCTGTCTTAGAAGCTCATAAATACAGAAAATTTCTCTCAGGGAGATAAAGTGGATACAGTATGCTGATTCTCCGGGGCCTTTCCTACAGAATAAGCAGCTTTGCTGTCCTTGATGGTGTTGACTTTGTTAGTCTTGGGATACTGGTCTCAGCACTCCAGCTACTTCCCAGCACTCGGCAGCAAAGAACGTTTCATGAAAAAGACCTAACTGTCCTCAGTGTCTGTGAAAGCAAAGATTTGGGACTCTCAAGCCCGTGTGTATTTACTAGTTGTTTGCTCGAATCCGTGCTCGCCACGTGAGCTCCACAGCTGTGAGCTCGCAACCCAGCTGCTCACAGTTAGAGATGTTCCATGCATCGCTTCCATCATTCAGATGGATGACAAGATACCCTTGGTTGCCGGGCAGTGGTGGCGCATGCCTTTAATCCCAGCACTTGGGAGGCAGAGGCAGGCGGATTTCTGAGTTCGAGGCCAGCCTGGTCTACAGAGTGAGTTCCAGGACAGCCAGGGCTACACAGAGAAACCCTGTCTCAAAAAAAAACAAAAACAAAAACAAAAAAAATAAAAGATACCCTTGGTCTCTTCCTGTCTGTCTCTGAACTGATCCTCTCATTCTTCTCTTTGTCCTCTGCCATGTCCTGCTCCAAAAATAACATAGTCCCCTATGTCCACATCCCTCCCTTTCTAAACTCCTGAGGCTCGTTGTCGCCCCTCACCCCTCAGTCTTTGCATCTTCAAGTCTCAGTCTCACTTGCTTTTTTAGAGATATCTTTTAAGTTTGTAAAAGCATCTTTTGTTTTCCTGTTGTAATTGTCATCTCTGGGGCTTACTGCCTCCGCCTTCTAATCTAGGCCTAGTCCTCGAAGCTTCTAGCCTCTAAACAATCTTTTCTAGGCCTAGACTGTTTTCAGCCTCTGAGGCTTACTGCTGAACAGGCTTACCCTTTCTAGTTCTTTCTGAACTCCAGCTGGCTTATTCAACTCAGCTGTTCTGGCTCAGACTCCTCTCCAAGCTGGTTGATTCAATATAATTTCTCTCAAATTCACCCAAATTGCTCTGTTTGCCCTCACACTAACTCTGGCAATCTTCTAATCTACTGGATCCTTCTCATTCTCTGGCTTGTTTTGTCTTCTCCTGTGTCTAACGTGTCTCTGTACAACTGTTCTGGTAAAAAAAAAAACCTGCCTCCTCCTCTCTCAAGCAGTTTCCCTTTCCTCTCTCTTCTCATGAGAGTTGGCATATCCCATTCTGGCAGATCTTTCTCTGATTTGTCAGTCTGCCGCTAGATTACTCATCACTCTCAAACATGGATGCTTCCTTCTCTAAACTAACTTTTCCTTCACTGTTTGGGGTTAAAAGTGTGTACTAAGAGCATGTCTGTATTCTAGCCAGAAGGATTAAAGGTACGTTCTAAGGCTGAGCCACACCACAACTAGAAGTAGCTTTTTTTCAGCAAATAACACAGTCTGTAGGTTCACAGTGGGATCAAATATCCTGCAACATAAGTTTTAGACTTATTTATTTACGTGTATGAGTGTTTTGCCTGTGTGTATGTGTATGTATGTATGTACGTATACGTATACGTATACGTATACGTATACGTATACGTATACGTATATGTATGTGAGCCTTGGGCATGCCTGGTGCGCATGGAGGTCAGAAGAGGGCATTGGATTCCATGGAAATGAAACTATAGATGGATCTGAGCCAACATGTGGGTGCTGGGAATTGAACCTGGGTCCTATGGAAGAACATCCAGTGCCCGTGACCTCTGAGCCATCTCTCTGGCTTTTTGAACTGTCTAGTTTTCCAGTGGTTATCCCCCCCCTTTTTTTTTTAGAACATTCTGAACTTGACCAAATTCATATTTGGTTCCTTTTGCTTTCTGTACCTGGTCACTTTTATGCTTTTTTTTTTTTTTGCCTGTTTCCTCATTTTATATCTATTTACTTCCTCTCTAATCTGAAATTCATTGTTTCCCTGCTCTTAGACGTGACTTTTTTATTTCTTCCCTTGGTCCCTCTGCCACTTCTCAGGCTATCTGCTGTTTCATCTGTGTCTGTTTCCCAGCCGTTCCTGTGCTGCTCCCTCTTTCCTCTTCAGGGCTTTCTCGTCTCACTCCATAGCCCACCATGATGCCACTCAATCCTTTCAACTTGTGACTACTATCTTTTTTTGTTAACAGAGTCTTCCTGATTCCATTTCTGCCTTCTCACCTCAGGTCCAGCTGCTGTCTAGACATTTTCTGTTCTGTTCAACATTTTTTTTTTTTTGCCTTCATGCTCAACAACGTCTAAATCAGAGACCATCTGATTACCTTTATCTCCCACTCCCAACTCCCTGTATATACACTTCCTTCTGATCTTCCATGAACTTGCTTTCAGTCACAAAGACTCAGAAGCTTCAAGTTATATTTGGCTCATCCTGTCCTATTAACTCTCTCCTACAGCTTTAATGGGGTATTTCTTTTTTCTTATTACTTTAAAAAGCAATGCAATCCTGCAATCCAGAAACAGCCGAGGAGAGTTTAATCCTTGCAGTTTTGCTTTTAGTATCATCTCTTTCCACTTCAAGAACCTAATTGTTGTTCTAAACCAGGATGGGTGCTGTTTTGGTTACTGTTCTATTGCTATAAAGAGACACCATGATCAAGGTGGCTTATAACGAAAGCATTTAGTTGGGGGTTTGTTTTTGGTTTCAGAGGGTGAGTCCATGGCCATCATAGCAAGAACCATGAAGTCAGGCTGACATGGCACTGAAACAGTAGCTGAGAGCTCACATCTGATCCAAAAGTTGCAAGTGTGGGGAGGGGACGGGAGCAGGGATAGGAGACTTGGCTTGGCATGAGCTTTTGAAATCTATAAGCTCACTCTCAGTGACCCACTGACCCAGTGACACATCTCCTCCAATAATACCACACCCAGTCCTAAACAGTTTGCCAACTACTCTGTTCCATTTTTTTGTAACTAGTCAATTATATGAGACTATGGGGCCATTCTTATTCAAACTACCACAGATGTAAACTTTTGAATACATTATTGCCTTCACCATCACTGTTACAGTCTAGACATCTTATTCTGTTTTATGTTACTGTAACAATATCCCCAAGGCTGTGTTATTTATGAAGAAAACGAATTTATGTAGTTTACAGGTATGGAGGTCAAAGAACATGGTGTCACCCTCTGCTCAACTTCTGGTGAGGACCTTGCACAGAATTGTATAATGATAGAGAAGAAGAAAACGGAAGCAAACACATAGAGCATGAGTGTGAGAGAAACCGAGAGAGATACCCAGTTTTCTGACAACCCACTCTCAAATCAGTCCCCCTACTCAGGGGCATCCAACCTCCCCTGCCCCCGGGACCACGGGCCTCCCTACCATTGCTGTCGGGCAAGGCCATCCTCTGCTACATATGTATCTGGAGCCATGGATCTCTCCAGGTACACTCCTTGGTTGGTGGTCTAGACTTTTGGAGAAATGGGTGGTCAGGTCAGTCTATGTTGTTCTTCCAATGGGGTTGCAATCTCCTTCAGCTCCTCCAGTTCTTGTGCCAGCTCTCCCACCAGGTCCTCTGAATTCAGTCTGATGGTTGGTCAGTTGCTGGCCAGACCTCTTG